GAACAAAAATTTGCTTCCGAGATCTCAAAAAATTCTGATAAATTCAAAAACTTTTTTTGGCTTCCCAAGTGTGATTTTTGTTGTTGAAACAACATTTTTGTTTTCAATATGTTTACCAACGTATGGGAAACATGGTTAGAGCCTAATACTGCATCACTGATTTGGACTTAAAACTTGATTCAGCATCTGTTGTATACCCGAAAATCAGACATTACTGTGGGACCAGCTGAAAAAAGACGTCGTCCCACACGTTTCGTCCATTTCTATTGTTGAACATAAAATCTTTTTATCTCTACAATTTTAACACTAACAAAAACTAAGCTTTGGAAAGTTAATTTTAAGCTCGTGTCGTAGATCTTAAACGTATTATAATTATAATGCAGCTTACCTTATCATGGGCAACAGACTCAACTGGTTCTACCAAGTGCTTGCCTTCCTCACTGCGGACACTCTTGAATGGACATCCTTGATCTTTGTGAAACACAGGACAATCTCCCATCTTTTCTTCCAGACATTCAGAAGTATCGTGGATTTTCTTGAACATTTCAATAAACTTCTGACCAGGTAATTCACTTTCATGACCAGCTGAATGTGGAACATGAGACAACGTCTCGTAAACTTCAGCAAGACTTTTGGCGTCTTTAAATGGGCAGCCATTTCGGAACTCGGGACATTTTTCAATCGCTTCTTTCATATCTTTGTCTTCCAATTTGGAAAATGGACAACCGCCTTTGAACGCAGGACATTGCTCTTGTAAATGAGTGGCATCAACCGTCTGTAGTTCCTCCTTGACGTGCTGGCAAAGGAAATTAAACAACAATTTAAACCCGGAGGCAAATACTATATTTCTGTCAATAATTATAATTGTTATGTCTCTTTTAACTATAACAGGAACCTTTCTTCTGCACAGCTACAGTATATTAAAACACGCATGTTTTTACAGCGTAGCAGCGGGGCAGCGTCACAATTCCTTAATCCCTGCGTAAACTTTGAATTTTAACGTTTCCTCAAATTTGGTCTGGAAACAAATTATGTTTCCCAAAAGCCAAAACATTCCTGTTAAATTTAAAGATGTTTGTTGTTTCCCAAGTGTGAATTTTGTCACGAGACTTCGTTTGTGTTCAATGTTTACCCACCTACATGTAGCGTGGGAAACATGACTAGGAAACAATGTTAAAATTCTAGTTTGCCACGAGGTTCAGTACCTGATTTGAACCACCATATGAAAAAGCACCCCCGTAAGTGTTGTTCTTCAGTCATCCAAAATTGTTATTGTAATTTAAATTAATTAAACAAAAAATCTCTACGACTCCGACACTTCACGTTTATAATCTCTTGAATTTCCTACCTGATCATGGGCAACAGACTCAACTGGTTCTACCAAGTGCTTGCCTTCTTCACTGCGAACACTCTTGAATGGACATCCTTGATCTTTGTGAAACACAGGACAATCTCCCAACTTTTCTTCCAGACATTCAGAAGTATCGTGCATTTTCTTGAACATTTCAATCAACTTCTGACCAGATAATTCACTTTCATGCCCAGCTGAATGTGGAACGTGAGACAACTTCTCGTAAACTTCAGCAAGACTTTTGGCGTCTTTAAAAGGACATCCACTTTTGAATTCAGGACATTTTTCAATTGCGTCTTTCATAGCTTTGTCTTCCAGTTTGGAAAATGGACAACCACCTTTGAACGCAGGGCATTGCTCTTGTAAATGAGTGGCATCAACCGTCTGTAGTTCCTCCTTGACGTGCTGGCAAAGGACATTAAACAACTAATTAATTCCGCCATATTCCGGCGGCAAATATACGTCGCGCATTTGTATGACCGAACTTTCCTTTATTATAACTGGAACTTTCCTTGTGCACAGCTAGAGTATATTTTCAAAACACGTACGCTTTACAGGGCACGCGGCACTTCCTTAAACCCTGCTTATAAACTTTAACTTAGAAACAATGTTGTCCCAGTTTAATCGCTCACATTGTTGTGGGAACAAATTGAATTGAATTGAATTGAATTTGCCACGCGATAATTATTTACAGTCACACAAGATTATGAAAATATATAGTGGTGCTCAAGGTGAGCTCAAAAAACCCCATTGAAATTAAGAATTATTTTATGATTTGGCGTGCTCAATCGAGTTATTGAGCACGCAGGAATTTGGGAGAGCACAAAAAAGCATAAAGCTACCTGATCGTGGGCAACAGACTCAACTGGTTCCACCAAGTGCTTGCCTTCTTCACTGCCGACACTCTTGAATGGACATCCTTGATCTTTGTGAAACACTGGACAATCTCCCAACTTTTCTTCCAGACATTCAGAAGTATCGTGCATTTTCTTGAACATTTCAACCAACTTCTGACCAGATAATTCACTTTCATGACCAGCTGAATGTGGAACGTGAGACAACTTCTCGTAAACTTCAGCAAGACTTTTGGCGTCTTTAAATGGACAGCCGTTTTGGAATTCAGGACATTTTTCAATTGCGTCTTTCAAAGCTTTGTCTTCCAGTTTGGAAAATGGACAACCATCTTGAAATGCAGGACATTTCTGTTTAGCGTCAGAAGTTTGCACAATTTCAAATTCTTCCATAGCTTAAAATAACAACAAAAATAAGTATAGGTGTTAGTAAAAATGGCAGACAGCAGCTTAATGTCAATAAGGAGCTGAAGGAAATTTACGTATGTATGATGTATATTGCTGATCAAACATCACCGACTCCATTCTCGGCCACATAAAGTGTGGTACCAAGATGGTAATATGTGTTTTCTCATGAATTCAACGACCGATCGATATTGAGAGTTGTCCGTTGGTGTATCATCTCTTTAATCTTAGGCTTATACAGTACTGTACATACCTATGGTACATACAGGTAAGGACATAGTTACACTTTGTTTAAATTTTTTTGTTGAAAGTTGTTTGTTCTTTTCTGTTTTGACGTCAAATAATACACAAATAATGACCATTTTGGTATCAAATAATACACAAATAATAATTGACGTCACATAATACACAAATAATATTTAATTCTTTTCTGTTTTGACTACCAAATAATACACACAAGACCATTACGTAACAAATCGGTTGATATTATGTTGATCTCAGATTTACCCGATTTTCCTTCCTAACCTTTTGTGAATTTACCTACATCCCAGGCCACAGTCCCAAATGGTCGGTGCTAGATTGAGTGTAGTTAGCACTTGTTAGCACCGATAAGAAACAGCCGAGGTGTGAGAAAGATACCGGTATGTTGACATTTCGAGCAAAGGCCGTTCCTCGGTAAATTAGTAGCCTTCACTCAAAATGTAGAGGTTCTGCATGTTTATACCGTATCAGGTAGTTGTATGTCCTCGACACCGCAGCTGTCTATGATAAGCCATGCCTATATTTGTTGATCAGGATGTTTCACAACCCCCTCCCTATACCCTCTTCAAAAACTGCAAGGTACAGCATTGAAATGTGTAAATGATACTGTAGTTTTAAATTTGAACATATGATAAACTGTTTGTCTACATTTATCTATAATTTTGTATTATAGAAACAAAATTCAAAAATTAACTGGCTTTATAAAACATAGAGATGAAACCTGTCGACGAAAGCAGAAAACCATTTATCTTTTGGCATATATATTCTACATTGCTACCCTTAGGCAATCCCTGGTTGTTTATTAAATAGTGACTGCTCTCATTGCAGTAATATTTTAAGTCTCCCCATGAAACTACAGCATACTGTATTTTGAAGTAGCCAAATGCTGCAAACTGTGGCTACCAGAAATCCCGCGTACTTTATTGCTTGGTTTGTGACTATAAGGTACAGTGTATGCCAAAAACAGGCATACTTTATAGTAGCCACAAACTGTGGCTAAGGTATGCCGAAAAGTGGCATACTTTATAGTCACACGACACAAACCACAAAAAAGGAGACATAGATGCACATTTTAGTTTAATTAAAGAAAACTGCAAAGCTGTAAACTGCAAAACTGCTTGTTTTGAAAGCTCTGTATGTAGCTTCCTATTCGATCTTGGTACCAAACAGTTTGGGGTTAATTAATTGCAGATGATGTCAACAAACTTAGCATCTGGTTTTGTACTCTCCTAAAAGAACCATATATGACACTCATTCTAACCCTTATAGCATGCCATACATATTTGGTGGGGGGAAATTATAACCTTTTTCCCATTGGCAGAGCAGAAGTAGCAAACATTTAGTTTATTGCAAATTAATTATTTTCCTTCCACTAAAAAGGATCTGAGTAGGAGAACGTAATATGAAGTTATCTGCTGTGTTGGTGTAATGTACTCAGGTGAATAAGATGTTTGTGTGATGTTACTCTGAGTGATGTTACACTCAGAGTAACATCACACAAACATCTTATTCACCTGAGTACATTACACCAACACAGCAGATTTCATAAATATTAGATTACACTGATATCGAAGGAACTAGACTCAGTTCCGAAATATCGCTTGCTCGAGCCGTCCTGACCGCGTAGCTCAGTTGGAAGAGCATTGGGCTAGTATTCCAAAGGTCGTAGGTTCGAATCCCGCCGTGGCCAGGCATATTTTTCAAGCCTGCCCGGTGTGGATATACACTCAGAGTAACATCACACAAACATCGTAATATGAAGTTGCTAGATTTCTCACCTTCTGAAAGGCAAAATGGAGAAAACAACATACCGGTAGTTTCTACATGTCAAATCTGCCCCAGAATACAGGAAATGCAATTTTAGAGACTCAAGATTTCTGGAAAAACTTCTCTGGGAGAGCATACCCACAGATTCCATAGAGGTAGTCTAAGCCTGGTCTACCCATGTCACTAACCAAACTAACCTTACCTCCTCCTATGTCCTCTGTTAATTCAAAGAAATTCACAAGAAGAAAACTCTAGAAGCAAATTGTCAGCATCAGGTGATGAGTGATAGGCAATAGTTTTCCTGTTTGCAGACAGTGGCATAGTCAGGGGGCAAGGGGGTTCTGACCCCCCCCCCCCCCCCCCCAGGGTTCGTACATGTGAGGAAGAGTGAAAGTCAAGGACTTTTCAAGGACATTCAAGGCCATGTATCAGCAAATTCAAGGACTAAATACTAAAGAAAAGGGGTTAGAAATCACTAAAATCTGACGTTGAATTTTTTAACATGCAAAATCAATTCAACAAAATGGCCCATTTTGAATGTAAACAATTTTCAGAAAATATCCAAAAAATAAAGCAAGAAAAATTTAAGGACTTTCAAGTACTTCTTTACAAATTCAAGGACATTCAAGGCCTTGAATTTTTGTTTACAAATTCAAGGACATTCAAGTTTTCAAGTTTTGTACGAACCCTGCC